TGTGAGTGAAGGCTTTAGCCTTGACATAAACATTGTTATAAAAAGGTAACAAATTAACATAGATATAAATGTACTTTACATTATTAATTAACAAATACAAAAATAAAAAAAATCATCAAAAAGAAAAAAATATGCACTGGATTGGATCTCAGAAATCAAATTACTAAAACCAATCCAGCTAATTTGACAATATCGCAGCCAATATCTGAACCAGGTATCAGATCAGTGCATCTGTAATGATTTGTAAACTACATTACAAAAATTGACCAATTATGTCTCACTTTTTGTGTCAGTGAAACTTCTAAGATGTATTCAAGCTCCAGAAGGGGCAGCATTTGATGTAAACAGACTTGCTGCAGCCTTTGAAACTCTCAAAGTGTAACTGGGTAATCTCTAAACATTTTACAGCCAGCCTGCTTGCTCAAACTCCTTTTGATGGATGTCCATCCCAAAGTGCATGGTAATCACACACTTTAAAGTCCTTTCTACTTTTGGTCATTGAGTCGCAAATTTTACACTGTAAACATAATTTGAAATCAATGCAAATACAAAAAGCAGTTTTCTTACCAGCCAGTAGTAATCACTTATTTCCTACAACCCATTTACAGGCCAACCAGTTGCATTTGTTAAACTGTCTACTGATAAACTATGACGTTCACAGCAGTAAACATTAAATGTTTTGATGGTTTTGATGGACATCAAACATTTCCAAAAAATATTTTGGATCTAAAAAGATTTGATCTCAAAGGAAAACGGAGACTCTTACCAGGAGATCACCATAGGGGAAATAATCAAGTTCTCCATCTCTTGGTGAATCCAGAACAACAGGAAACCTGTGATAGGGCGAATCAACGTAGCCAAATTCTAGCTCATCCTGAAAAACACACATTATATTTTCCATCTCATATTCCAGTTGTTCTCAGGTGATTGGTTCAAATCCTCTTTATGAGAATCCTATAAAGACAATGAATAAATTATGTCAAAGAACAATCTTTAGAATAAAGGTTCATTAGATTTCCTGACTTGAATCCAGCGGTCTCCTCTGTTCTTGTATTCTTGGAGGATCTTCAGCTGGTGTCCGCTCCTGTAAACAAGGTCCTTCATTCCTTTGAGGAACTGGTAGTTATCAGATGTACTGAAATCACAAGCAGACATGTATTTTTTTGTTAACAAATATATTTTTTACAGCATGTCAAAATGTTGTAGCCGTTGATTATTGGATATGATTTTTTTCTTTTTTTAATGAATGAAACTGAGTTTTATCAATTTCAAGTTTTAGTTTTCTGAAAAAGCTGGAATGAGATAAGAAAACAATCAAGCTTACGCTGCCTGAATTGCTTCTAAACAAAAAGGAAGGACGACTTTAGCGAAGCTACTGACAAACATCTTTATCATTCATTAGTTCTCTCTAACCTGCAGATAAACACCTCCTGAGGCTCGAGGGTGTTGGGCGTCATGATCCATGGCGAAACTCTAAACACCACTTTGTCTGTGAAAACAGGTGTCTCAGGAACGCCCTTAAAAAAAGAAAAAAAGGGGGATGAGTACGCTACTATATTCTGTAATTAGGGGGGCCACATGCCGAAGGCATGGCCCACCTACTACTATTGCACATATTTATTCCGCGTATTATTATTAGGGG